CATGCCCCGAGGTTCATGCTGAAGAGGTTTTGATAGCTTAACAGTTCTGAATTACTGCCAATCTTACCTCTCCAACCACAATGAAATCTCTCTAGAATCCACTGGTTGACACAGTCCACCTTACAATCTCTGTTTGCCTGCATATTCACTGCCAACACTTGGCTGGGGCAGTTGATCAATTTGTTCTGTCTTCCATTCTCCTGACGATATGCACAAGAGACTGGTCCAGTGTTTCCCAAATCCTCTTCATATCTCAAACTCATCAATGGGCACTGAAGCCTAGTTCAACCCAACCAGCTCCACACTCCAGGCAATATATCTGCTGGCAGGTGCCACTCTGTCTAAACTGCCTGCTCCAGTCCCAGTTTTCATGCTCACCAGACGGAGTGACAACCCAAAGGGAGGTACCCACAGTTTCCCTCCTGGGCCCACTCCCACTCCCTGATCTTGTATTCTCAAGGTGTTTCTGCAGTTTGACCTGACAGAATTTGGCCCTTGTGCCAGCATCTGCCAGCTGGTGCTACGCAAAGCCCAATCATCCCACACCCACTCTGCCTTATGCATGCACCAGTAGGAACAGTCAACCCAGCCTGGCTTTGTCCTGATCCTGCTCACATGAGGCCAATATATACATGATTTCATTCACAGAAATTGATGAGCTGTCCTTCTACTCCCTCCTGTCTGGACTTTTGGCAAATTAATCAAACAGATTCAAATCAGCAGCAAAGAACATTATCAAAATTAGGATAACAAGAACAAGAGTTTAGCTTAGCAGTTAAGATGCTGGTTAAGCCACCAACATTCCACTCAACTCTGGCTATATGCTAATGGAAACCCTGGGAAACAACCCTGACGACCTGAATCATTGCATTGCTGACACTCACATGAGGGAGTTGGATTCTCAATTAGGCTTTTGTGAGCACTGGGGAAATGAATAAGCAGATGTCTCTTTTATCCAGTTTGAATGATATAGTTAAACTAATTTATTCGTTCAAATACTTTGCTACCTTCTTAGTTCATGGAAATTGAACAATCACTTCAGCCACACGAATCCATCTGGCTGTAGTTACAGACACAAACTATCGCCTATAATTTAAAAAGGAGTTTTTTTGGCTATTTTCAGAAAAGATGGTGTCAAAATTATATAAAACCTCTCTTTAGAATGAAGTAGCCCATGACTATGGTAGCTTCACCAGTGTATTAAAACTGGTGTCATATTATACTCAGTAGGACAATTAACAAAAGCAGCAATAGAGGGAGTTAGAAGCGATTGTAGGCAGAGAAGTTACTACCGAACTACAAACTGCTCCCATTCTTTCAACCAAGAGATGAAACTTATGTAGAAAACTCAAAGAGCAGCTCTGACCCCAATAAGTTTCTTTAAGATCCAAGATATGTTTTTTTTTTTCGTACACTTATAATCTGTGATCTATTGTTCAAGTGACTTGGAATTGAGAGGTTTTCCCTCCTTTTACCAAACAATTAGTTAGTTACAGATGGATTTTTTTTTAAATAAAAAGGAAATGATCTTGTCTGCCTATGGCAGCATACTCTTGAACTTTACACACTTTAATTATGCAGGGTGCTGATAGATTAATCTCTGGGTCGATGGTCAGCATCCAAATGAATGGCTGCAGTTGCCACTTAATCATTACCCCAATCTTCTGCTCTTGGCAATTCCCTGACCTAAACATGATACTGGAATTTAATGAGGTGTCACTACTATAGAACTGAATGGTATGTGCTAGATTAAGTGCACATTCATCCCTTTTCATTTGTTAGTTAGTGGGGAAAGGTGTGTGTGTATGAGATGTCCTACAGGAATCAAGGTTCAGCTGGCTATCTACCAAGAAGCCATTGCCATTCGCCTATTATGCTTAACTTAGTTAGTTTGAAATTAAAATGCTAAAATCACTGACTGCATTGAGCCCATCTACCTATTTCCTAACAGTTTATATCTGCTTTTGTGACACGAAGTGTCCTTTTAGTGACACAGGAAACTGAATAAGACAATATCAGTTTCATTTCACATCATCTCTAGCTTGGTCATAATTGTAATCACCTCCTTTGCCTTACAAAATCACTGTGTAGCCCCATGAAAGCACTTTGCAAATTATGATCTACCAATAAATGTAAAGTACTTAGAAGTTTGCATTAAATATTAATAAATGTGACTTCAGCCATTGCCAGTTGACAATAATAAAAATCAAAGTAAATTTGTCTACATTCTGTGATAGGAGGAGAGAGTCAGGGTCGCAACGATTCCAGTTTATATTTGCCTAAAAGTAGACCATTATTGCTGTGCTTGAAATGTATTGTTTAAAGTTGCTTTCCCCGTCTCACATTCCAGTTAATCAGTTGGCAACAAGAAATATTTGAAAAAAGTTTAAAAAGTGTCATTAATTTGAAGGTTTTAGGCAGGCTGTCAACAATTTTACAAAGAATCCAAGATGATTTTTGAAAAATGTAAACTTCCTGGATTTTAACTATTTTTAACATTAATTATATTTTTACTGATTATTCCCATGCATGAGACCAACATGCCATAAAACTATGTAGGGAAGACTAAACTTTCCTTGTCCCTGCCCATAGCACCCTTCCTTCAATCTCTGTTTCTCAGCCACCCAGTTCCTGTCCTCGCAGGAAACCATGAATACCAGTTTTATATGTATCCTTTCAGAAAAGTTCCACACTTTATACAAAGAAGTGTATAAACACGTATCTGCATTTAGAATCATAATATAATGCTGTGCATACTACTTGGAATGTTGCTTTCTTTTAGTGAACAGTGTATCTTAGAGATGTTTTCTGTTAAATGAATAGCTTTAAGTCTTTTAATAGCTATACATTATATGAAACTATAACAATTTTAGTTAACTACTCTCCAACTGATACACATCTAGAATTTTTAACATATTTTTCTGTTGTAATCAATGCCATGACAACAAAACTGAACATCTGATGTGATTGCATTTTGAATTCAAACATTCGAATTTCATTTATTCATTATTTTTTAGTTAACTTGTTATTAGTAACTGTAGCATTTGTATTTGTGAAATGAAGATTAGGTATTCTATGTATAGCATTTTGTGCCAAATTATAAGCCTTATTATAGATGTCCTTGTATTAGGTAACTAGCATCAAATTATGCCCAAAAGCAGCTTAGCTTAAAAATGTTATTCAGTTTCATAAAAATAAATAAAGTGTAAGACTTCAAGAAATACTTGTTGGAGAGAGAAACATTTGGCCTAGTGCTTTAGTTGCTGTTTTAGACACCCACAGTCCGTGTGAGTCCCTAGATTTATATCCCAATTCTGCTTCATCCAGCTTCCTGCTAATGTGTGTTCTTGGAGGTGACCATTGGTGGCCTGAGCACTTGAATTCCTGTCACCCATGCAGGAGACCAGGATGGAACTACTTGGCTGCAGGATGGAACTGCTGGCTCCAGCCTGGCCCAGCCTAGTCTATTGCAACCCTTTGGAGGGAGATGAACCCATAGATGGAAGATGATTCTCTCCTCTTCCTCCCTTCAATATAAGTGAATAAATAATTTTTAATATTTATTTATTTATTGACAATCTTGACATAATTAGGGTAAAAAGGTTCAAGCACACAGGAAGATGGGCAAGACAATTAGTTCCATATTGTTTCCTTAATATATCTGATGTAAAAGGGGATTTTTAAGGGAGAAGCCCCATCCAGTTTCCCACCCATCCCAGGTCCCAGATGTTGGGCATGCTCTGAGGGTCTTGCTCAAGTGGTTTTGATAGTTCAACACGTCTGAATTAAAATCTATTGGGAAAATTAGAATAATTCATTATTTTTTAAATCGAAGCAGTTATTGTATCCTCTTAACAATTTTTTCCCAGCTCTAGCCTAGCAATCATAAAAAACCATCAACAAACATCAAGAAATAGCCCATTCTTTGAGTCATTTTTTGTTAAAAAAAATGTAAAATAACACTCTTGCCTACCAACCACATCACCTTTAAATTTATGAGCATTTTTCTTAGCATCTTGTATAGCCTAGCCCCATCCTTTCCAGCCAGTTTCATTAGTAATTCATGGTGCTGAGATCATGAGAAACTGGCTCTCAGTATATACAATTCAACCCTTTCCTACCAAATTGCTTCCCTCTAAGCACATTATGCTTGCTAAATTCTATCTTGGTGCTTTGTTTTCTATTGTTAAAATTTTTTAAATTTTTTTCTTTCTTATTATTTGATTTTCCAGACCTTTGACATCCCTCAAGGTTCAAGGGCATCCATTCCCTCCTATAATACAGTCCACAACCTTCAACATATATGTATTTGAGTTAGAAGCAATTGCATGCAAACCATATCTCAAATTCTACAAGGTTTCATTGGATTGTTTTTTGTGTTCTGCTCTCCCTTTTGTTATGCTGGTCCTGTGTTTATAGTTTTAGATTTTAAATGAGAGACAAAGATACAAATTTTGTTTGTTTCTCCCTTAGCACCCAGCAAAGTAGTTGGTATGCGAAGGATGTTTAATCAATGTTTTATCAATTATCATAATATGTACATGTTTTATTCTATCATTTTTAGGAGTTGGATGAAGAGTAGTGGATGGCTCACAGGCTTAGAAAGTTCATGTCACCATGAATGTCCTTTAGGTTCATATTTATTGAGACTAGTTAGCACTATAAAATAAATATGAGTATTTAATATTTCTCTTACTATAATTTGATCTGCACTTCACTACCACAAACTTATGAAAACTGCCTGAAATAAAGCATTTGTTTGTTCTTGTGGGAAAATGAAGCTGTTGAAATGATCTATTTCTGGTGAATCAATGGTGTTCTACATGTGCTGGGAAATAGATATTGTGTGGATAGCATAATCACCCAAGCAGAAACACTGTGTAATAAATGCTTAAGCACCATCAAGTGTATAAACGTTAAGTATTATAAATGATAAAATCTTTACTATTGTGTAATTTCTCTCAATTTTCCCATTACTTTCTTGCATTTTTTTCTTCTAGCTTTACTCACAGACAAACCTCCCAAGCCATTGTTTCCCATGGAGAATCAGCCAAGTGTTATAGATGTCCAGCTGGGTAAGTCCCCTTCTGGGAATAATAGATCCTAAACTTTTTCTCCATTAACAGATGGGGAAAATTGGATGAACCAGGAAAGGTTTATTGCCATTGCTATTACATGCAAATCAATTTGTGTTCTGCTCATTTATAACCCCAGAGTTCAGTGCAATAGCAGTTTAAGGAAATGAGTTTGTATTGCATCGAAGAATGGTAATGCTAATTGGTTATACTGGGTATTAAATGTGCTGTGTGACAAAGCTTTTTAACTCCATGATTGATAGGTTCATGGGTGCCTTACATAAAATTTTTCATACATGTCAACTAAAGTGTTTATTTGGAGAGCATTAATTCCTGGAGACAAAACGCTCCATAAAATAAATGATAGTCCTTCAGCACAGCCTTTAAAATGATGTGATAATATTATTTCCAATGACACAATCCAGGGCTATTTAAACTTGTTTTTAGGTTGGGATCCTGAATATTTATGAATCATTTGGTGTTGGGAAAAGTAACAAGTTGATTTATGGATGCTACTGTCTTATTACAGATGCAAATAAGGATATAAGGAATTAAATAACTTTCTTAATTTCCCTATCAAGAATCTTTGTGAATTTAAGTGCAGTAACTTTGAAATTTAGAGGCTAGGAAATTTTGCAAACTATGGTCTTTAATCTAAAACATGTTCTTTAACATTTGTGAGCTTTCATTTCTCTTGGGTTTTATCCTAGTATCCTTATTTTTTTTTTCCATTCTAAACAAGACAACCACAAGAAAACTGAAGAAATACACTGAAAATGTGTTAGGCATATAGTGGCTATATGATTTATTGAAATTTATGACCACAGTGGTATTCACCAATTATTCAGCCAAAGAGGATGAATTGGCCTCAATATTTCACTCACTTTGGAAAATTTTCACTCAATTTTTGATCTTTCCAATTCAACTTGGATTATTAGAACCTTATTTCTATCTTGAAAAATAGAAGAGGGAAAATTACATTCCTAAGGGTGTGTTCATTTTTCTGAAATGAAATATAATACATTGTAGTTTTAATTTTTAATGCACTAGCAATATGAGTACAAAACCTAAGTATCTTAAAACAAAAAGAAAAGAAAATGTTAAGTATTTTGTATCAGGAGGATTGTGGAAAATGTGAATTTTTGCCAATAAACATTAAAAAGTTAGACTATGGTTTTGCCCACATTTCCTGTAATATTTTGCAGTCACTGCATTTTATTAGGACTCAATCTAGCTGTAATTTATAGCTATAAAATTGCTAAAATAGTTTGTTTCAAAATACCCTGAGATACAGGGCTGACCTTCTCAGTTTTTAGTTTATAACACAATTTGGAAATAACTTGATTAACAGAAAGAGGGAGACCAGTCCATTTTCCCTCCCAGCAAGGCCGCTTCTTTGAGATGTTAAAACAACCATATAAATCAAAGAAAGAAACATAAGATCAGTCAAACCGGATCATTGGCTTTTCTAAAAGCATATGGCTAGCTCTTTCAAGTGATTTTAACTTTTCCACAGATTTATTTAGGGCTATTTATTCACAACTGGAAATAATTTTGTAAGTTTTTTGTAAGTTGCTCTTATTCCTCATTAAATGACATTAAAATTACTGTAAATGGGAGAGAGCTCTGTGTCTTTAGAGGATTTGCAGTCAATATAATAGGTTTAGAAGACTCCAGGTATAAAGGAAAAATAGAGTTAATGGGCAATAGGATAAGTCTATGTCTTGAAAACTTCCCAATTCAGGAAGTTTAATGAAAGTGTCTAGAAATTATTTTCTTACAATTTTTAAAGTTTGTCAAGCAAATTCAGCTTCAGACACCCTCTTTGTAGAAATAAAATTAGAACTAAAAAGAAAAATGCAATAATACAATCCAAATGGCTAAGCAAATTACCAAGTCTGGGTTTCCCAAATCCCATCATTTGTAATTTGAGACAGCATGTAGTGAGATTGAAGTTAGCCACATATATTTTGGTACTCATTCTACCTAAATATGTTTTCCTATCCACCCTTCCCTTTGAATTTGAGCTGGTTTTAGGGGCATGCTTAACTAATAGAGCGTGGGATAAATGATGTTCTGACAAACATCAAAAGAGATTTGCAACTTGTATCTCATTCTATGGGTCTGATGTGAAACCATCATTCTTGAAGCTGAAGCCACATGAAGAGGCCTGAGACAACCTGTGGAGAGAAAAAAGGGTAGGAAACAGCAAATTCCAAAGACATTTCAGTAAAGATGTTCTATTTAAACTGGATCCTGCACCTCTAGCTGCTTTGCCTCATGTGTCAGAGACACATTACTGAACTAATCTGTTCTCAAATTTCTCATTATAAAAATCATACACAAAGGATTATCACATGCCACTAAGTTGGGATAGATACCAGAGCAAACATTAATGAGTATTTCTAGAACTTTGTCAATTCCTTGTTTTCTGTAGATATTGGGGGCTGTCATTGTAGCACAGGAGTTATGATGCTACTTGTGGCTCCAGCATTCCATATTGGAATGCTGGTTTCTGGTTTCCTACTCTGTCTCCCTTCCTCAACTCCATCTCTCTTGGTTTATGTCACGTTGCCTTCTATATATAGATTCATTTTAAATAATTGAAGAATCTTCAAATATCCATTGTATGCACAATGAGAAATGTGTGAAGCACCTTAAACACCAAATTCAAGGCAGCTTTGGAAAACCTTGCCTAGAATAATTGTCTACATTCTTGAGGACTTATATTCCATCTCAGTCCTGTATACAGGATTCTAGTAAATGAAAAATTTTCAATAGAAGTAATTACACTCTAGTACACGGGGTTAATATCACGCAAATATTTGTTGTGTCTCCAGAGGAAAATAAACATTTTGACATTGTGATTCCTATAGTGTAATCCGTTAGTCATCTGCAAGCTTCTAGGAATTTGCATGCCTTTTTAGTGACACAGTAATGACAGTTGCATTGTTTCTAAATTGTGTTCAATTATAGCACTGAAAGAAGATTAATCTTAACAAATAGCCATTTATGTGATAATAAATACATTATTAACAAAATAATTTGAAAATCATTGTTCTCACAAAGCTAAAACTGTGGTAATGTGTGTAAAACAAAGGCAAAAATAATATACAGCACATACACACACACAAGCACATACAAAGTTATTCTTTTTGAAGGTAAATTTAAGTTTAAATTTAAGAAGTAGATGTATACTATGCCTGTGCTGATTAAGTTTTCAGAATTGAAAAGGGAATATATTTCTCAATAGCTGTCTGAAAGAACACTGCCTTCCAATACTTTAATTGTATTGCACCTTAAATACCAGGGAATTAAAACATCATTTGTACAGACAGGCACTATACTTGAAATGAAGAGTAGTTAGTACCTAGGTAGTCCTTTCATTGTAGAGTGCTTTTTTTTAAAAAATAGCACCCAAATGCATGGTTTCCAACTGTACTAGAAACTCTGAATGAGCCATGAACAAGTTTGGATGAAAAGATTTGAGATCTGCCATATAATTTTAGTAAAGAATACATATGAAAATGTACCCTGTTTATCTCATTGGTGATAATTTTCTGCTGGGAGATTTCCTAAGATTTAGAATAAGCCGAGCAACATTATGCCGAAAATAAAGATAAATTCTGTTTACTTCTTTATCTATATTAAGGACTCAAAGAAGACCTAGTGGTCTAATGCACATTAGAACAACCCAGACCAATAGAACAATCCAAGGTAATTAGACTATCTTAGATATTTCAGAAAGTTCATGATTCTTCTCTAGATGTTGGATTGAAAGATTTCTTTCCATTTTTTCCATATTTTCTGAATTTATTCTCTCTTTACGAGCTCTTCAATTTCATATTTCATGACTGTGTTACATACTACTGGTTCAAACTGTCTCTATGTGTATAATCAGTGTTAATCATCAGAACTTGATTTCCCTACCGTATTAAGTTATGACTGGAAATTGTATTAGATTCCATAAGGAACATTTGTAAGAGACTATAAAGGAGAATTGGTCAAGATACAGCATTAGTTACAATACTTAGGGCCAAAATTGTAAATTAGCAAATTAGCTGCTCAACCAAATCTATATTTTTAAGTTTTATCTGAAAACATTGAGGTTTCAGTGAATCCTGTTGGTCCAAAAGATACCGAGTAGATTGTAAGAGGTCCATGTACTCCAGGTGTCTCATCCTAATAGGGAAGATAAATATTTAAGCAGAATTACATTTAATATGTTAAGTGTCAATGCAAAAATCAGAAAACAGAGAGTGAATTTTATTTTTCATCCTCATACAGTCACTGTTCTGTGCTTTCAGGCTTCCACTCGATTCAATGACAACCAACATTGCTAGATGCAGAACATTTTAAGATCATACATTAATCCTTATTTTCTTCATTCAGTATGGAAATTAATACAAGTGAAAACTGATGATTCACTGAGCCATCAGTAAAATTACTGAACTCCTTAAATTGACATAGAAAGTGGAATACATTGGAGCTCATCAACCAGTTTGCTACAGTGTCAAACCAGAATATCTGTGAATGCAAACAGCAATACATGATCATATCATGAGCTGGAGCCATGACTTGAAATGTACATTGTGTGTATTATGGTGCTACCAAGGCACTTCATTTAATTCACTTTTAATATACTCTCTTTATCCTCTCAGTTTCAAATAACTCCTTGAAAACTTTAATGTAATATTGAGTAACTAAGGACTTTGGAAGGTTTGGAAAGAAAGGAGAGTTTCATGAACTGACTCAGCTTTCTTGGCATGTGCAGTTGGAGCTGGTTCATGGGAGCATTCCTTCTCCTTGCAGACAGTCTAGGGTTAGTCAATTGTTTCCCAGATTTATTCGGTATACCATGCACAAGCTTGACATTGACCACCCCCACCTCCAAACCACTGTGTTGTAAACGCATGTCTTATTTACAGCTTTCCAAAATATACTAAGCCTTTTTCATAAGAACTTGCTTAGTACTTATGAGATTGAAATTTCCTTCGTTT